AGCATGTGGCTACATGAGACCCTGATTTTGTTGTTGTTTTAGTTTTTTTTTTTTTTTCCGCTTGCTTTTGCCAAAATAAGTAAAGAATAAAAAGGCAGGTGGATTTGGGCAAGATGACACAACTGGACTCCCAGCTACTCAGGAGACTACGGCAGGATGATTTCTTGAGCCCAGGAGTTTGAGGCCAGCCTGGGCAACATAGCTAGACACTGTCTCAAAACTGCAAACATCAATAATAGTAAAAGGCAGACAGACCAATTTCTGACCCACCCTCAACTTTAAGCCCTTTCAGCTGGGCAGTTACTGCCCCTCCTGGCTGCCCAAATTGTGGAGGATAGATATCCATGGTCCTATTTTACAGACAGAAGGTAGAACCAGAAGAAAGGGAAGTCTCTTGTCAGAGAGCTCCACCCTGGTCTGCTTCCCATGAAGAAAGTGGAATTGGCAGTTTGCCTTCAGAGTTGTGTCTGGAGGCTGGGGAATGGCTTCAGTGACCCCAGCTAAACTTGAGTCTCCAAAGCCTGCTGTTAAGGGAGTAGAGCTCTGCTTACCTGTGTGAGCAAGACAGAGGTAAGTGAAGCAGGGGCTGCTGGGAGCAGTGGACGGTGAGGGAGGAGGGGCTCACTAAAGGCTAAGAACTTGCCTGGGGGGAGAAAGTGTTTTGGGGTATGGTAGGAGCTCTGGGCATCTCAGTCTTTGCAGATACCTTGCTATGAAGACTTGTTCCTAATTCTGGGGAAAAATGAAGAAGGCGTCAAGCCAGCCAGGGGCCCCCTGAGGCCTGGGGAGGAGGAAAGCAAGACAGAAATAGAATCAGAGCCAGAGGGAGGAAGCTGGTCTGGGCAGAGAGGGTGGGAGGCAGCAAGGACAGCAGCTCCGGAGAATTCCAGGCCAGGTGGATCCCTCACCCACTGGCCCAATATACATATCACTCACAATGATACCTAGGTATGGCATGCTCCCATCAGCTGGGCCCTGTGCTCACATATCCTGCCTAACATGTGAGTCAGTATAGCGTAACGAAAGGTGGTTACTCCCATAAGAAGCGGGCTCACAATATGTAGCTGTGGTTGCCCTGCAACTCATGAGTGGATAAGCTTTACTGAGCATGTACCTTATGCCTGACCCAGGGTAGGAGCCTTAGCAATGAATAAGATAGATGAGCTGCTAGGCATGGTGGCATATGCCTGCAGTTTAGCACTTGGGAGGCAGAGGCCAGAGAGTTCCAGGACAGCCAGGACTGTTACACAGAGAAACCCTATCTTGAAAAAATAAAATAAAATAAAAGTGGTCACAAAGAAAGAAATGGTCCTGGTGGAGCAGGTCTATGAAACCAGCACTCAGGAGGCTGAGGCAGGAGGATCAGAAGTTTTTCATTGTTTGCTGCATAGTAAGTTTGAAGTCAGCCTGGAGTTATTGTTTTCTTCCCCAATATACAAAAAAAAAAGGAAAGAAAGAAAGGAAAAGAATTTTCATTTGTTTTTCTCCTTTTTGCTTAATTTATTGGTTATGAAGATAAGAGATTTGCAATTTCCACAGCCATTTTGTAGCCATGCAGCCCTGAGAATAGAATGTAAGACTATCATTAGTTTTTAAAGGAAGGTAGAGGAAAACACAGGAAAACAGGTCTATGACAAACCCCTAGACTCCAAATAGAGTCAGATGACACCAGAATATATTAATATATATTTTTTTATTTTATGTGTATAGGTATTTTGCCTACATGCCTTTCTGTGTACAATGTCTGTGCTTGGTGCCAGAGGAGGCCAGAAAAGGAGCTACAGTTACAGATGGTTATGAACTGTTGGCATGGATGCACTGGGACTCGAACCCGGATCCTCTGGGAGAGCAGCCAGTACTCTAAAATATTAAGCTACCTCTCCAGCCCCATAACAATGTTTCAAATATTTAAAACATATTAGCTGGCTTCTCTTGTCATCTACCCCCTGCCCCAGTGTCTCACTATAGTACCCTGGCTGACCTAGAATTTCCTGGTAGACCAGATTGGACTTGAACTCATTCACTGAAATCCACCTGCCTCTGCCTCAAAAGTGCTGGAATTAAAGGTGTCCACTAACCATGCCAGCTTTTTGGAAAAGATCTTATGTAGCCAAGGGTGGCCTTAAATTCATGATCCTTCTGCCTCTACCTCCAAAGTGCTGGGATTATAGGCATGAGCCACTGTACTTGTGGCTTTTCTTTCTTAAACTACATACACTCATTCATTCATTATCCATTCATTCATTCATTGTGTGTGCATGTGGTGCATGTGGAAGACAAAGAACAATTTGCATGATTAGTTTTCTCCTTTCCACCTTGTGGGTCCCTGGGATTGAATTTAGGTCATCAAACTTAGTGACAAGTGCCTTAACTCACTGAATCATCCCACCAGCTCTTTATCTATCCTATCTATCTATCTATCTATCTATCTATCTATCTATCTATCTATCTA